GGTGCTCTGATGGGGGGGGGGGAGGGGGTCATTAATAGCATTGAGTGCAGAGATCTCAGAGATGGCCCTAAGGGGGGACAGGAGATCACTCCTGGGTGCCCAGCCCACTTGGTGATGACGGTTCAGCCAAGGGTCTGTGAGATGTTAGGGGTTACCTTGGGAACTGTCTCAGCTGCGTCACACCAGCTTGTGAACCAGACCAGGTGATACGCTGCATTCAACCTGGAGACTCCTGGTTATCTTAGTGGAACACACGCCCACTGCTTACCTCCAGGGTGTGGGCTACTCACGTCATGGGAAGGAATTCTTTTCTCCAACCAGATTACAGGGATTCCCCCCACCCTCCGTATCTGGCCTGAGAGGTCCTGACAAAGACTAGCTCTGGTCCCCTAGGGCTTCTCTCCTGGATTATATGAACAAGCTTTCCAAACTGCTCTATTCCGTTGTGCCCACTCCCTACGATGGCCCCATCCAGCCTTCACACTGAAGCCAGTCATCCTGAACAGCAAACCCAAATACACTCCCTGCTGAAAAAGCGTCATTCCCCAGTGCCCTCAGACAGAAAGGCCCAGACTGGGTGAGGGAACAAAAACAAAGTAGTATGATTCTCCAAACAAAAATGAAGAACACTTCTGTGCGAATCGTCTATCTTTTCCCCTACTGGGAATTAGTGCAGTAATCAGACAGACTTTCCGGTGCTAGGCAGCGGGGGTCCAGTCCTGGGTCTGCCATCTAGTGGTATAACCTCAAACAAGTCACGCTACTCGTCTGGGGTCCAGTCACCGGGCTCTGTAAAATGGGGATAAAAATAGTACCCACCCCTCCAGTCGCGGTTAGGTTTAAAGGGGATGGAGTATATAAAACCCTTAGAATGGTGAAGTTAGAAATAGCACATCTGGCATTCGAGGAGCGCAGGACAGATGCCTCATTCCATGCTATCCTCGCAATGATTCCATGAAAGAGGTCAGACATCTCTTCTTTACAGGTAGCTGAATGGTCACTCTATGAGACTGTGACTTGCCCGGCCTCATTTGGACAGTAGCTAACAGAAGGCGAGAGTCAAAGCCAGATTTTCAGAGTCTAATTCTGCCTGTGTCATGTGATGACTGCCATCTCCAGGCTCAAATGCCATAGAGTTAGATGTCCCCTGTGTGATCATTGGGAATATCTTCAGTGGCTGCAAGGTAACTGAGACTTGTGAGCCTCACTGAGCTTTAGGGGAAGAGGGTGGAAACAGCAAGTGTCAGCCCTTCCTGGAAACAGCCTTGTGATCTGGCATCCTGGAGATCTGCCCAGCTGGAGTCGTGACACTTGTCCAACACTGCGCCTCTCACAGCGCTTACATCGATTTCCACGCGCCCTCCTAAGTGTTTACCCACCAGAGGCTCAACAGGATGGAAATGTTATCATTGGGCTCAGCAGCCTGGCAGGTCTCTCCTGACTCTACCACCTGGCCACGTACACCCGTCAAGCTGGGTAGCTTCTTTCTGTTGCTGGAATTATTGAGAAATACATTGGAGTAAGTAAATATACTTGAGATGGCCCCCAGTATCTGGCAGCACAAAGCGCCCAGGGAAAAAGCATTGCAATAGTCCTTTCCACCCCAACCCAATGCTGCTTTCCAGCCCGAAAGTTTACTTCCAAGTGGAGGTTAGTCCAAAAATCTACATTACTCTGGATTTCAACCATGAAGCTTAGTTCAAATGTGAGCAATTGCTTTCCAGTTACTTTGCTCAGCAAGTATTTTCTTTCCCTCTTGGTTGGCATGCAGGACCTGTCGTAATCATGGCCATCATTCAAATGATGCATTTTCTTCTCCCAACTTCTCTCGAGCCCAGAGAAGGTTAGAAATTCCAGAGAACTACTAGTCCCAAACAGCATCTCTCCGCCAAATTCAATCTTCTGATCCAAGCAAAAAAGTGAAATTGACAAGTTCCTTCTTTCCCT